GAAAAATGAATTTGATTTTTTCTGACAGCATAATTTTACAAATGCATTACTAGCACTGCAAATGGGTTGTGAGCATATTTTCGTGCTGCTGAAAAATCTCTCTATATTAACTGGAGGCAACATAACGGTAATATAATTCCACATCTTCTGACTCCATCTTCAAATCGTTTGATCTCTTCTTTGAGGTCCCTCTCTTCTTTTAATTACTTCTTTATTTTTGCAGAAATTGCAATTTATTATTGCTAATAAGCTTTTAGCTGTGTCAGAGAAAACATTTCCAATTTGCCATCTCTTAACTTCATCAGGGATATCTCAATCAATTTCAGTACTCTGAATTTTAAATTTTGCTTATTTGGAAAGTTTCTGAATTAGTTAGGATTATTTTTACAATGGAAGATTTGATTTGACAATTTTCTTTCTCCTCTCGAGATAATGGAAATACAGAAGAGAAGTTTTTTTAAAACACATGTAGCACCATTCAGTTTGAAATTAGAAAATATAATTCCCTGGCTATGTCCCAAGGCATATATACATAAGGTTTTAAAAAATATCCCCAAACCCCACAAAGATATATCTTCAAAAATACTTTAAAACAGCACTAAATATGAGAACACCAGACTGCTGAGAACCAGTGTTGCAGTTATTAATGCTAGGTACCATACATTTAAATTTTAAATAAGCCTTATGTAGTCGTAGCTATGTACTGGACAATGTGGCTCTAACATATAACAAATTTCTTTTATGTGTATCTCTATTCTGTTCCCACAGTCTATGGGACATATATGTGTCAATACCACACTGTCTTAATTACTCTGGCTTTATAATAGTTTTTGGTATCTTGTATGGCAAGTCTCCGAAATTTAGTCTTCATAGTAACAATTATTTGCCACTGCCTATTCCACCTGAATGTAGGATTACTAACAAATGTTATTTTGACGTACATGCTAATAATTTTTCTTATTCTCAAAGTCTAAAATTATCCAGAAATTTTACTGAGTCCACTATAACCACTACAGAACATTCCATTTCATGATTGTTGTCTAGAGTTTAATTTTACCTTAAAAAAAAAAAAACCCAATTTTTAAAAGAATGGTTAACTACATTATCAACATTTCATCAATCAGACCACTCTTTTTAAAAAAAATCCCATGCCTGTAGATTCACTCTTCTGACTGAAGTTCATCCTTCAGTCCTTTAATGAGGATCCGTGAGTAGTAAACTCTTTCAGCCTTTGGAAATTTTAAAGTGACTTTGAGTTTATTTTTGAATGACAGTTCATGTGATTACAAGATTGTAGCTGACGGTTACTTTCCCTCAGCACTTTGAGGCTATCACTCCACTGCTTCCTGGCATCCATTATTGCTAGGAGACATCCGCTTTACTTTAATTGTTGCATAAGAAAAGACTTTTTTCTTTTTCTTTATTTGGTTTAACAACATTGTGAAAATGACTCTACTACCCAAAGCAATCGACAGATTCAATGCAATCCCTATCAAACTACCACTGGCATTTTTCACAGAGCTAGAACAAAAAAATTTCACAATCTGTATGGAAACACAAAAGACCCCGAATAGCCAAAGCAATCGTGAGAACAAAAAACGGAGCTAGAAGAATCAGGCTCCCTGACTTCAGACTATACTACAAAGCTACAGTAATCAAGACAGTATGGTACTGGCACAAAAACAGAAACATAGATCAATGGAAGAGGATAGAAAGCCAAGAGATAAACCCATGCACATATGGTCACCTTATCTTTGATAAAGGAGGCAGAAATGTACAGTGGAGAAAGGACAGCCTCTTCAATAAGTGGTGCTCGGAAAACTGGCCAGGTACAAGTATGAGATTAGAACACTCCCTAACACCATGCACAAAAATAAACTCAAAATGGATTAAAGACCTACATGTAAGGCCAGAAACTATCAAACTCTTAAGAGGAAAACATAGGCAGAACACTCTATGACATATATCACAGCAAGATCCTTTTTGACCCACCTCCTAGAGAAATGGAAATAAAAACAAAAATAAACAAATGGGACCCAATGAAACTTCAAAGTTTTTGCACAGCAAAGGAAACCATAAACAAGACCAAAAGACAACCCTCAGAATGGGAGAACATATTTGCAAATGAAACAACTGACAAAGGATTAATCTCCAAAATTTACAAGCAGCTCATGCAGCTCAATATCAAAACAACAAACAACCCAATCCAAACATGGGCAGAAGACCTAAATAGACATTTCTCCCAAGAAGACATACAGATTACCAACAAACACATGAAAGAATGCTCAACATCATTAATCATTAGAGAAACGCAAATCAAAACTGCAATGAGATATCATCTCACACCGGTCAGAATGGCCATCATCAAAAAATCTAGAAACAATAAATGCTGGAGAGGGTGTGGAGAAAAGGGAACACTCTTGCACTGCTGGTGGGAATGTGAATTGGTACAGCCACTATGGAGAACAGTATGGAGGTTCCTTAAAAAACTACAAATAGAATTACCATATGATCCAGCAATCCCACTACTGGGCATATACACTGAGAAAACCGTAATTCAAAGAGAGTCATATACCAAAATGTTCACTGCAGCTCTATTTACAATAGCCAGGAGATGGAAGCAACCTAAGTGCCCATCATCGGATGAATGGATAAAGAAGATGTGGCACACGTATACAATGGAATATTACTTAGCCATAAAAAGAAATGAAATTGAGTTATTTGTAGTGAGGTGGATGGACCTAGAGTCTGTCATACAGAGTGAAGTAAGTCAGAAAGAGAAAGACAAATACCGTATGCTAACACATATATATGGAATCTAAGGGAAAAAAATGTCATGAAGAACCTAGGGGTAAGATGGGAATAAAGACACAGACCTACTAGAGAATGGACTTGAGGATATGGGGAGGGGGAAGGGTGAGCTGTGACAAAGCGAGAGAGTGGCATGGACATATATACACTACCAAAAGTAAAACAGATAGCTAGTGGGAAGCAGCCGCATAGCACAGGGAGATCAGCTCGGTGCTTTGTGACCACCTAGAGGGGTGGGATAGGGAGGGTGGGAGGGAGGGAGAAGCAAGAGGGAAGAGATATGGGAACATATGTATACGTATAACTGATTCACTTTGTTATAAAGCAGAAACTAACGCACCATTTTAAAGCAATCATACTCCAATAAAGATGTAAAAAACAAAAACAAACAAACAAAAAAACTGCTTCTGCTCCTTCTCTGGCGCTCCCTATCCCTCTTCACTGCTTAATATTTTTTCTAAGCAACTGTTACCATCTGACTGGACATATTTTAATTTTTATAAAGTATTTTATTTACTGTCTCCATCCCCACCTTCCTCCAGTGGAATGTTACCTCCCGGAGGACAAGAATGCTATTTGCTTTTGTTCCTCTTGCATCCCCAATGCTTAGAACAGTGCCTGGCCCTGGGAGGCACTCAGTGTATATTTGCTACAGGAATGCTGAATATGCAAACTCTTAAATCCTGATAAGGCTAAGTGATTTAGGACACTACAGTGTCTAACTTCTTTCCACAAAAGGAAATACCATTTCCCTTCTGACACTGACAGAAACTGGAAATCTTTCTCTTCCATATAGTAACACAATCTGCTCTAAATAACATGCCCCTTTAAACCTCTTAATTCCTTTTCACTTCAGTCTTTCTTACATCCTCTAAAATATTAACTTTCTGTCATCGAAAAATCTTTCATTTCCCTTCAACACTACTGTACATAATATTGCAAAGGCAAAGTGAACTCACTACAAATGGTACCAAAATGCAAATAATGAAGAAAAGTAATGAAGCTCATTAACAACCAAATAAACCCAATTCTACTTCAAATCAAAGTGCATCAGAGTGGTGAGGGCCCTAGTTCATGCTTAACTTTATTATCACTATACTCCTTAAGGAGTAAACATTTTTCTCAATAAACTCCTTTTAAACTAAAAATTAGTTGGTACAGGACTCTTGCATTTAGCCATGAAAATTAAACCTGAGAGAAATCAGTTCAAGCTACAAGTCAAATTAATAAGCAAATAAAAGACTTAGGGAACATGTCTGGATAGTAACAAGTAGAAGTACTGGAGTAAAGGAGATGAGGTTCAAATCCCATCTCACCCTTTACTAGCTGTCTGACCTCGGACAAGTAAATTCAGACTGTTCCTCAGTTTCCATACCTGTAAAATGGAAATGGTACCTCCTACGGTTGCTACAAGGATTAAATAAAGGTACTAGGTTTTAAAGCACCCAGCACAATGACATATAGTAAGCACTGAAGAGAGGTATTACTATAATTCCTACATCACTGATAATACAGCTCTTTAAGCTAGGAGCTCCTTGGTACCACCGTCATTTTTTAAAGTGAGAAGGGTTACTATTCAATGGTATATTTTTTTACCTCGTTATGTTCTGTAGCCAATTCTGAACACTGTGGACCGTTCTGAAGAATAAACGTGTTTTTCTCGAGGCAGAGCACTGTACTGGAAGACAATCTGCTTCCAGCATTGCATGTGAATAAGAGGCAATGCTGTCTTTTAACCCGGACACCCGGGGTCGTGTGCCATCGGGACAGTCCACTCACCTCTCAGCGGCTTCTGTTTACGCCTAGACTGCGGGCGCCTAGTAAACGGCCACTTACTATCTGTGCCAACGCCAAGACACAGCGTACCTTCTCGGGCCCAACGCCGAGAAGCCGGCCGCGGGCTTCGGCTCGGACCTCTGACCTTGCGAAGCCCAGCGAGCACGCCCGCCCCAGTCCCGCCCGCCGCGGCCGACCGCGCAGCCTTTACCCACAAAACCCCCAGAACCCTCGCAGGCCCTCCCAGCTCTCGCGAGCGGCACAGACCCGCCAGGAAGCCACCCGTCGCACCACCACGGGTCCGGTTACCTGCAGCCACGCCCCGGGCCGATGCTTTCCAGTGCTTCGGGGCTGGCGGGGGAGGGGTCAGTGGCTTCCGTCCGGAGGCCGCTCGCGGGCCGAGGCCCAGGGACCTTCGAGTCGGCCGAGTAGCGGTGACAGCGGCAGCACCGTCTCGATGGCGGCGGCGGCGCCTGCGGCGGCGGGCGGAGGGGAAGGGCTGATCACTGAGACGAGTCGGGGCCCCAGCTGGCCAGAGCGGCCTGACTGCGCCGCGGCTGGTGCTCCCCCTGGAGGCGGGCAGCCCGCACAGCGGCTCTGCCGGCTCTGAATCAGAAACTCAGTGATTCCGCTGTGAACTAGACAAAGTACCAAAACTGCGACGGGGTAGAAGAGAAAGACAACCGAAAGAGGTTTCATCGATTTGAGTCCAGGAGCATTTTGCATTTTTCACGTCTTTTTCTAAAGAAACATCCCACCCCTAAGCTAAATGCAGGCTTCAAAGGCAAGGACAGTTTTACCAAGAGCTGTAGGCATCAATTAATAGTTGCTGGCCTAATTTAGCTAAGTCTTCTCTATAATCCAAATTGATGTGTTAGTAATAGCAACTACCGACTGGCTGCTCTAATTCTAAAATATGACCCTGAGCTTTTTGCGAAAAGGGTTTGAATACTTACCTCCCACTTTTTAGGATTCCCAGACGAAATGCAACATGTGTCCAGCCCGAACTAAAAAGGTGGCAGGTCGTGGGAAGTTCATTTACTGGAAAATTTTTTTTTTATTTCGGCTTAACCAACAACTCCAGTGCTACAGCCAAGAAGACTTGCCCTGCGCAGTGATCCTCCCTCCCCTGAATTCTGGCATACTCGCTCAGCCAAGCCACCCTCTAGGGGGTCTCAAGTCCTTCCATTCAATGGCTACTACTCAGTCTAACAGTTTGCTCCTGGAAATGTCATGTAAGTGTTTAGGATTATTGTCAAATTTGAGAAAACCTCTATCATATCTCTTTCACATAAGAATAAGATTTCAGGGACTTCCCTGGTGGCCCAGTGGTTAAGAATCCGCCTGCCAATTCAGGGGACACGGGTTCGAGCCCTGGTCCGGGAATATCCTGCATGCCACAGAGCAACTAAGCCCATGTGCCACAACTACTGAGCCTGCGCTCTAGAGCCTGTGAGCCACAACTACTGAAGCCTGCGCACCACAACAAAGAGTAGCCCCTGCTCGTCGCAAATAGAGAAAGCCCACGCGCACCAATGAAGACCCAATGCAGCCAAAAATTAATTAATTAATTAAAAAAAGATTTCAGGCATTTCACATTTTCTTGTGCAGTGACTAATCATAAATATTAAATACTCGTTGAATTGATGACATTTATTAACCAATTTGCCATTGACGTCCTCCTCGAGGTTGTGTGTTGTTTATTATATCTTTATTGATGCCTGTAAATTGTTGTCAAATCAGCAAAGAATTTCAGCCTTCTCCTAGTGTGTTCATACAGTTACCTCTGTTTCATTAATTGGTTTATCAAACAATCCAAGAGCCTGTTCATTACTTCTGTTCAAATGAATCTCTCCACCGTCATGAACTACTGCTTCTGTTTGATCTGAAAAAATGTAGAGACCGTTAAGTGTAAGCAGTGCTGCTTTCCTTCTGGAGGCTCTGAGAATCCGTTTCCTTGCCTTCTCTAGCTTCTAGAGGCCACCTACAACCCTTGGCTCATGGCCCCTTCCTCCATGTTCAAGATCAGCAGCTTGGCATCTTTTCAGCTCTCTGACCTCTGCTTCCAGCCTTGCATCTTCTCTAACTTTGACCCTCCTGCCTTTTTATAAGGACCCTTGGATTATGTTGGGCACGTCTGGATAACCCAGAACAGTCCCTCCATTTCAAGGTCTTTAATTTTAATCACATCTGCAAAGTCCTTTTTACCATGCAAGTTAACATAGTCACAGATTCTGGGGATTAGGCCATGGACACCCTTAGGGGAATGTCATTCAGCAAGGGCCCTGAAGCTTAAACTCCATTTCCTTCAGGTAAATCTACCTTTTCTTCCTCATTACCAAAATCTGTTTGGTCCTGAGTTCTGATTGTGAGAGTTCCAACAGGGAGGAATACCTGTAATTATAACTGGGATAAGTGTTATGAAGTAAAAGAAGAGAGATGTTATATGAGGGCAAACTGTCCAGGACAGTTTAGATGGAAGGGCAGCAATGCCTTTGAATAAGTGATATTTAACTGAGATACACAGGATGAGGAATTAATTTTACAACAAACAGGAGGAGTGTTTCAGACAGAGGGGACAGCATGTGTGGCCTGGGAATAGTGATGTCAGAAGGTCAGTGTGGCTGAATTGTGTCCCTGCCATCAAATCCTCAGCATCACCACAATGAGTGGCACATAGTTGGTGCTCAAGATTATTAGCTTAGCAGTTCTTAGCCCTGGCAGCACATTACAGTCACTACAGGACTTTAAAAATACCAACACCCTAGCCGAGACCAAGTCAGAATTGTTTGGAAGTGTGGCCCAACATCCATAGTTTTTAAAGCTGCTCAGAGAATTCTAATGTGCAGTCAGGGTTAAGAGCCACTGTGTCAGATACAACCACAGGAGCAAAGAATGAAAGAATGACAGAAAATATTTGCTTGGGGTAGGATTTTCTCTAAGGAGGTTTTCTTCTGTTTAAAGAAAAGAAGGGTTTTGGCCATCTTGATTATACATTCCTTTTCAGTCTTAGAAAATGCAGAAAAGTCTTTCAAAAACATTGTTAAAATAAATAAGCTACAAGGATATATTGTACAACATGGGAATATAGCCAATATTTGATAAATAACATTTGTAATATAAATGGAGTATAACCTTTAAAATTTGTGAATCACTGTGTTGTACATCTGTAACATATATTAACTATACCTCAATTTTTTAAACAGAAAAAAAAACCCACTTTGTAATAGAGCGCTTATCAGAAGAGACTCAGAGTGATCTAGCAACCACCCCAGTGTAACCAGTTGTCTCAGTAGAAAGAGATGTGTTGGAATGGAGAGGTGTTTAAAAAACACACCATATCTACAAAGGAAAGGGCATTTCTTGGTTTTGAGCTCTGTTTCCCAGAAGGCATTCCAGTTTTTGGTAGTACTAATGAATGACCATCAGAGGGAGACATGCTCCCAGAAAGCTTGGCTTCCCCCAGTCTCCAGTCTACACCAGGCTAACAAGTATCAGGTGTTTTTAACGACACTGAGAGCTCTCAAGGCATGACCATGGAGTGAGCATGTCACAGGATTAGAGATAGGTAGCATATATTTATTTATGCCAGAGTTCGGTTCATTTCAGTTCTCCAACAGTTTAAGCATTTAAACCACCAGAAGAAAAATGAATCATGTATGTGTGTCAGGTATTGTATTTGCAAAACTAAGGAAAATTTTCCTTCAGCAGACAGTACAATTGGAAATGCAGTATCAAGCAAATCTTTCTGAAAGAGAGCTCTTGTCTTTTGTTAATTGCAAAGAAAACATCATAGGTCTCCTTGAATTTCTGGAGTTAAAATAACAGCCTAGCCGAGACCAAGTCAGAATTGTTTGGAAGTGTGGCCCAACATCCATAGTTTTTAAAGCTGCTCAGAGAATTCTAATGTGCAGTCAGGGTTAAGAGCCACTGTGTCAGATACAACCACAGGAGCAAAGAATGAAAGAATGACAGAAAATATTTGCTTGGGGTAGGATTTTCTCTAAGGAGGTTTTCTTCTGTTTAAAGAAAAGAAGGGTTTTGGCCATCTTGATTATACATTCCTTTTCAGTCTTAGAAAATGCAGAAAAGTCTTTCAAAAACATTGTTAAAATAAATAAGCTACAAGGATATATTGTACAACATGGGAATATAGCCAATATTTGATAAATAACATTTGTAATATAAATGGAGTATAACCTTTAAAATTTGTGAATCACTGTGTTGTACATCTGTAACATATATTAACTATACCTCAATTTTTTAAACAGAAAAAAAAACCCACTTTGTAATAGAGCGCTTATCAGAAGAGACTCAGAGTGATCTAGCAACCACCCCAGTGTAACCAGTTGTCTCAGTAGAAAGAGATGTGTTGGAATGGAGAGGTGTTTAAAAAACACACCATATCTACAAAGGAAAGGGCATTTCTTGGTTTTGAGCTCTGTTTCCCAGAAGGCATTCCAGTTTTTGGTAGTACTAATGAATGACCATCAGAGGGAGACATGCTCCCAGAAAGCTTGGCTTCCCCCAGTCTCCAGTCTACACCAGGCTAACAAGTATCAGGTGTTTTTAACGACACTGAGAGCTCTCAAGGCATGACCATGGAGTGAGCATGTCACAGGATTAGAGATAGGTAGCATATATTTATTTATGCCAGAGTTCGGTTCATTTCAGTTCTCCAACAGTTTAAGCATTTAAACCACCAGAAGAAAAATGAATCATGTATGTGTGTCAGGTATTGTATTTGCAAAACTAAGGAAAATTTTCCTTCAGCAGACAGTACAATTGGAAATGCAGTATCAAGCAAATCTTTCTGAAAGAGAGCTCTTGTCTTTTGTTAATTGCAAAGAAAACATCATAGGTCTCCTTGAATTTCTGGAGTTAAAATAACAGCTAGGGGCTTCCCTGGTGGCGCAGTGGTTGAGAGTCTGCCTGCCGATGCAGGGGACGCGGGTTTGTGCCCCGGTCCGGGAAGATCCCACATGCCGCGGAGCGGCTGGGCCCGTGAGACATGGCCGCTGAGCCTGCGCGTCCGGAGCCCGTGCTCCGCCAACGGGAGAGGCCGCAACAGGGAGAGGCCCGCGTACCGTAAAGAAAACAAAACAAAAAACCAAAACAACAAAAAAAAACCAGCTAGACCCCTCGGGAAGAAGGAACGAGCTCGGCTACTTGCTGAAAACCCAATTTGTTATTTTTCTTTGCATTTACCCACACATGGCAGAACCACACAGGGTTTCACATATACGTTAGATGAAATAATGTATGTGATGGGAATGTATATAGTGCCTAGCCCTAGTTAACCTTCCCTTCCAAAAGTAAAGTAACTGATCGTTAGCAAGGGAATACCTTTTGCAAAGGTTTAAGCAAATGCATTGCTTTGCAAAGCCTTTAAATGTGACTGGTGAGAGGTGGGTTCAGTCAGGGAGGGAGAACATCTGTGTGACAGGATAGTGGATTTATTGCAGGCATTCCATCTCACACAACTGGGGGAGGAGTCCAGGAAGTGAAGGTTTGGAAGGAGATGCTGGAGGCTCATATAAAAAGTTACAAACTAGTCTGCCTGAGGGGGCCCGCTCAAGTGGGACCACAAAGGGGATCTTTAGGACCTGCTGCCTCTGTGCAGCCAACTACTGCTGTGTGAGTCCCCCACCAAGCATCTGGTGGTGGGCCTGTGCTGTGTTGCTAAGCAGGGCTAGAAGAGCTGGACATGAAGTGGAGCAGGACAAGGACATGCCAGAAACTGCCAGGAACTTGTCTTTCCATGTCACTGTATCTGATTGTGAAAAGACTGTCAGAAGATAACGGCCACGGCCTTGCTCTGTCTCCCAATTCTCCTGGAAAGTCCTCCTTGTGCTAATTTTAAACTGGAATCGTACCGGAGAGGGGACACTGGGAAACATAGTTCCCACATTAACCAAGTTGACCAAAAAAACAAAACGAAACAAAACAAAACAAAAAAGCAGCACACATGTAGGCTCTTAACAACTAATTTTGCAGATGAGAAAACTAAGGGCCACATAGGTAAATTGCCTAAACTCACATTACTATCTCAAAGAAGACGCAAGCTCAGAATTCAAGTCAGAGGGGTAATGTTCCACTCCGCTATCATGCCTCTCATCCTTTGTGGTACTTAAGTATTTCAAGAAAACGGTAGAAAAATTTCATGCATCACTTCTGAGTTCCCTTCCTAGGCTAAGAGCCTTTGAGTAGCCAGTTTACCATCACTAGACATAGATCAGACTATCTTGCCGAGACTATGTCTGGGCATCTGGGTTACAGGGGCTCTTTGATGAGACGTTATGCCTGTGTCCACCAGATCTCAAAATCATTGAGTAATGAGATATGAGCTATTGGGCACATGATGGATCTTCTTACTTGGGGTGTAGGATTATGTGAGAACTTGGATTCCAAACCACCTAAGAATTGATTGCCCAGACAGCACTGTTGCATATCATAGAAAACATCAATAAAAACTCTGCAAAGTGCCTAAGAAATTATGATGTCCATATATTTGATCATTTCCTTTATACTTCAAAACAAGCACCAGAAACGCATAAAGTCAAAGGTTTGTAAATTTTTTCAGAAACGGACAAGGGAAGACAAAAGGAGATAACATGGGAAAGTCCAGGCTAGCTTTGCCTTTTTCTATTCCTTTCTGGCACTGGGTTTCCTTTCTAACCCTTTAATATTCTCACTCCTTAGAAACCACGCTAGTTCAGGGTTTGTTATATCTGGCCAAAGAAAAGCCAAGGAAGGGCTCATACTGATCCCAGAAGGCTCTGAGATGTCTTCTTGGTCCAGATAATGAGCAGTTTAGAAGATTCCAGCAATCTGTGTTGTTAAAGTGTCCACTTCAGCCCTAGAATGACACTTAGCTCACCCCAGGGGCTCAAACCACATTGAAATTTTAGGCTGAGAGGGATCTTAACTCTCATCTTAGTCTCACAACAAACTCCTGGTGATCATTCAAACAGAAGCAAAGCACATCTTTTTAGTCTTGAAATATACTCCAGGCAGAACTGGCCTCACTTTCACTCTCTTTCTATCAAAACACTGATCCTGTGGTTTCATTTTCATCTTCACAAAATTTTTTTTTTGCGATAGGCGGGCCTCTCACTGTTGTGGCCTATTCCCGTTGCGGAGCACAGGCTCCGGACGCGTAGGCTCAGCAGCCATGGCTCACGGGCCCATCCGCTCCACAGCATGTGGGATCTTCCCGGACCAGGGCACGAACCCATGTCCCCTGCATCGGCAGGCGGACTCTCAACCACTGCGCCACCAGAGAAGCCCAGCACATGTACATTTTGTAGGGTAGTCTCTAGCTAACCATATGGGCTTTGCTTGTGTAATACTTTAGAAGAGGTTAGACATTCAGTTGATTTAAAGGCACTGACCCTTTAAAGAGCAGTGGTTTTGCACTGCTCTTGCACCAAATGTGGTTTCTCTCCTGGAAATGTGGGAACACAGGGTTGGCTGTACTTCCTAATGGGTTTTCCATCTGTCCACGTGAGCACATATTTGATGGGGTCTGTGGTACGGCAGTTGTCTGGGTAACCTATTTGGTTTTCTGCAAATTAAGATCCCTCAGCTCTTCTTAAAATCACTCTGAGGGGGAACGTAAGGTAATTTCTAGTTTACATATTTCACATAAAATGTGCTTCCCGATTGTCCACATGGGGACCTGTGCAAGCCGTAAGCTCACCACATACTGGTGGCTTTGGCAAGCACGTCAGCTCTTCAAACAAAGCTCGCGCGTGCTTCCCTCCATGGGACGCAAAGGGGCTCGGACCTCTGGGCCTAACTACAATTTAATCAGCTCTGTCCTTTTTTGCTCATAATTATTTTTGTGAAATTTTGAAACCCAAATGAGTTTGCCCGCGGGCAGAGTGCTTATGACAGTTATTTTAGGAGTTTAAACCTCAATAGAAACAAATACATATGTCTACGCATGGAGAGAAGTGATGTTGGTGAATGTAGATGTAGCAGGAGAAAATCTGGCTGAGTGGGGACCATGAGGAGTGAATCTATAGATGAAGCCATATGCTAATTTGCAAAGCCACGTCGCACCCCGTAGGAGTTACTTGAAGGAATTCAACAGTTGCCTACCTTTATTACTCATGCCCTGCATGATGTCTTCTCCCCTGCTGGATGGCTGTGCTGTTGGGAAGGTTCCCGACCCAGCAACACCACCTTCACAAGAGTGAAGGCATCACCCCCAGCAGAGACGGGGTCTCACTCTCCATCTTCTCTCGGAGCCTGCAGCAGGGCAGGACACTCTGACAGGTGGAGCTTAGGCTTTTTACTCAACGGTGGAAGTGCTTCGATCCACAAGTGATTCAAACTCCCAACGCCGTCTAGAGAAAGACAGGCCCAGTAACCCCCAAAGGGGCTAACAGCCCCTTCTTCTCTTGCATAGCTGCTGAGCAATTTTATTTTCTTCTATCTCAGTTCCTTTATTCTTCATGTTATATACTGTGGAATGTACTTCATCACTTGTATTTTTCTTCACTTGTATTATTCTGATACTGATGATAATCTCAATGTCTTGGAAAAAAACTATTAAATTCAACGTTTCAATTTTTGCCATCTTCGAATGGGGATAAATCACTCTATTATATTATAGGGATGCTGCAGTCGTGTATGCATATATACTGATCCCTCTTTCCTCTTATCTCCTAATCACTCCCTTAATCTCAAACTTTGCTAGCACAGTTGCTTATCCTTCCCTAAACAGTGTACTCACTCTCCCATCAGTGTCTATCCTTCCCTTTCACATGTGTGCCCCCATCTCTGCCTCTACTTGTCTCTACTCTTTCTTCAAAGTCTCCTCCCCTCAGGCCTTCCTGACTCACCCCCACCCACCAACTTCGTATGACACACGGGTCCACACTACACATTGGACACCTACTCCATGCTGTCTTGGATTACTCGCAATTGTGTATCAAGTTGCAACATATGAAATGGGTAACATTCAACTATTTTTGACCTACAAAACAGCAGTTACATATGGTTCAATCTATATATGCATCTTCTCACCCCCAATACAAATTCTCTTTGCATTCCTAGGGTCCTCAATAGATCCTTATACAGTGTAGGCATCTGCTATTAAAGAGAAATAGACTTTGACTATTCCTAAACTGGCGAAATAGAGGATAAGCTTCTATTTTAAACTGAAAATGCATCCTAGCCCATTAATACACTCACCACGGGTGATCTGGGATGTTTATGATCCCACCTTGCAAAAGTGTCCCACTACAGCCTAAAATATAAATATAAAGCTTTACGGCATTAGAAGTTATGGCTAGAGATGTAGCTTTATAAATATTATAGGGCTTTAACAGAGTCTACACTTCAAAAAATGATTCACAGAATTTTCATCAATAAATTCTATGTTCACTAGAATATATTTCATATTTATTATATAATTAGTTACACAACCCAGTTAGAAAACCTCTCCCTTACTGCAATCTTAGTTCTACATATAATTCTATTCTATAAATCTATTAATTAATGATGAACTGAAACTGGATAAGAAAAAGTCTAGAGAAAAAGTATACATAGTTTTAAAGCTAAGGTATCTGATATCAAGTACAGGGCCCTATTGGTTTCCAAAATGAAAATATTCAAAATAGTGTCATGACTATTGAGCTGAATTCAGTATTCTAAGAACAGAATACAACTACAACAGTGGAGAAACAGAGAACTGGGCAGCCTATAACTTTGAGCACATCCATATTGGTAGGCTCAGAATTATATAAGGGAACAAATCGGTATTTCATCAACTCCTTGCTCTGGTGATGGATTAGTGAAGTCCAGATTTCTTGTTCAATGATTCCATTTCTTAGAGCCACAGCTGATGAGTCATGCCCTCAGATCTTAACCCAAAATGCATTTTTAGTGTTTTATATTAAGCCTTTCATTCATGCAATATCAGAACATATAAAAGGTTTCATGAAGCCAGGTAAATATCTATCTCAGGGGGAAAAAAAACCCAACGAGCTTGTACTAATTGGTTCAGACCTGCCATTTGTCATATATAAGTCACTAAAAACAAACTATATAACTTGGTTTTGCATTTCCTTTTAATCTTGAGATGAGCAGAGCTCTGAGGTAGTCTTGATGAATATGGTCCATCTTCATGTGAAAAAAATGGGAAGGAGTCACATTTCTTCCACTGGTGGTAGGAAGCCTACTTTCAACCCCCAAGCTCTCTCATGGTCAAGACAGCCTTTGAGAACATTTTAAAAAGTTAGACTTTCTCTTCAAAGACCTTCTTCCTGTATGGTCCCCAAACCACAGTCAACTTCAGCTGTTTTAATCTTGCTTTTTCTTGGCAGAAAACTAGAACAGTCTTTCTGTTACGAAGTAAACAGAGAGGTTAGAAATATATATGCGAGGAAATAATTTCCATAATAACAATAATAGCTAAAAAGCCAAAGTTTAAAATAATATAAAAAAGGCAACTAAAATGTTGTAACTGTTAAGCACTGGTTGTTTTAAATGGCTTTATCGTGTAGAAGCTTTGTTTCCAAGGTAGGGATACATCTGTTAGTGCTGAGAGTGCTTCCTACGGGGATGGAGAGGTACGCATGTCCAGAGCACCTTTCCAGGCACTGGGATCTCTCCAGGTAACACTTGAACTCTGCCTCTCTTGTCTTTTTCCCCTCTCTTAAAGACATGTGACTTTCAATTGTTAACTTCACCCAAAACCTTTAGTGCACATCCCACACAAAGTTTTAAAAAGTATTATAGTTATTTTAAAATATTTTAAGAAGTTATGGTTGCTGCAAACCTTCAGTAAGTGAACAGTTGGCTTTCAGTGTGTATAAAATCTCTAAGACAGGGCCATGGAGAGTGGGCTTTGGCCCTGGTGAAATAAATGTGTGGCAGCTCACCAGGCAGAGCAGCTAAAATTTTTTTTTCTCTGAGAGATTTGTCTTGATAGAGAGGCCCCATGGCAGAGTGGTTAAAGGAACAAATAAACTTTATTTGTTAAATAACAAATAAAGACTGCTTGGGTACGGATACTAACTCCATCATTTACCAGCTGTGTGACCTTGGGCAAGTTACTTAACCTTTCTGTGTTTTCAGTTCCCTTGGCTACAAACCAAGGATGATAATAATTCTTGGGTTGTTGTGAAGATTAAATGAGTTATATGTGGAAAGCTACTATAACAGTGGCTAGCTCAGGATAAGCTCTCTATAAAGGTTGGCTAAAATAAGTTGGAATTCAATATAATCGGACACCAGGCCCCCTTCCGACATGCTGGCCCTGCTCAGAGCATGAGGGAGGTTTGCCTGCTTTAGCATTGCTGCTCACCCATGCTGACTATTGTGTTGTCTGTTGTTCTAGGACAGTGGCTCTCAAACTCAGACATGCATCAGACTCAACTGGAGGGCTTGCTAAATACTGATTGCTGGCCCCCAACCCCAGAGTTTCTGATCCAGTAAGTTGGGGGCCTGAGAATTTGAATTTCTCGTAAGTTCCCGAGGGATGCTGACCCTTCCAGTCTAGGGACCCCACTCTGAGAACCACTGTTTTAGGATAATAGTTCCAATCCTGGCTGTACTTTAGACCACGTGGGGAGCTTTAAAAAATTCTGCTGCCACGCCCCTCAGATCAGTTAAATCAGAATCTTTGAGGGTGCGGCCCAGCCATCATTAGTGTTTCGGGCTCTCCAGGTGATAGTATGCAGCCAGGGTTGAGAACCACAGCTCTATGCCGTCACTATGCTGCCGAAATGGATGAATTTAAGTGACGGAGTGATTTTACAGATAAAGAAGCTGAAGCTTGGTGCAGTGTTTCCCATTGGAGTTCTTGCTATAAATGCTGATTTACTGAATCCATCTTTTGGGGTGAGGCCCAGGAATTTGCATTTCAGTAAGCACCCCAAGAGTCCCTTATACACATTTAGTTTTTTGATCTGCCTGAAGACACACAGCCAGTAATTGGTGGAGTTCTCACCTCCTGTCTCTGATGTAAGCAGCCAGAAATGCTGTTATTATGTAGGAGAGACAGCTCTGCATTTAATCTGTTTTTAAAATTTTTCTCTGAGCTCATTCACTCAAGGAAGGACCTTATATATTTATAAATACTGTACTTATATACTATCTTTATATACACAGCAGACTCTGTGACAGGAGCTGGACCAATAATAAATCCCATTCAAATGCTACTTAGAGGCTACCTTTATTTTGTTCACCCACACTAGGATTTGAACCTTGAAAGGAAGAGTTAGTTAAGGGCACGGCTCTGGAATCAGACTGCCTGCTTCCTCCTACCATTGATAACTGTACAGCCTGGAGCAAGTCACCTAACTCTCTGTGCCCCAATTTCCTCAGCTGATTTACAGGATCATGGTAAGGATAAAGACATTAATCCACAGAAAAGTGCTTCGAACGGTGTCTGGCAATGAGTGTCTATTATTGCTTTCTATTATGATATTTATTGTTATTGCTCTCTGCACAGCAGACCTAAATGCTTGAAAAAGTAGTTTATAAACTTAAAAGTTCTTTTATACAGAGTTCACCACAGAAAGTTGATGAAACTAAAATATACAAACTAGAAAGAGGATTTTTAAAAAATGTATGGAGTGTGGAAGAAAATTACTAAAGAATTTTGTATGCTTCTTGGAAGTCTTCTATATATAAATTCAGGAAAGTATTTCTCCTCGCCCAACTGGGTGCCACGGTAAAAAATACTATTTCTATGATGGTTGTCCAACTGGACCAGCGTATATGGAGGAGCTTCTGTGAAAGACAATTCTGGCTTAACCTTAAAAGTAGAATGACTGGTTACTTAAAGGGGAAAAACGGGCAGATTTATCAGAATTATAATATATCCATTACATAATTTTACTCACAGACCTGGCTTTGTTGACTGTGGTGTTTTTTACTTTTGCCTTGTTCTGGAACTTCAATCTGCTAAATAGATTAGTGAAATGTCAGTCAGCACAGCCGGAGAAGCGAGCACACAAATAATCTATTTAACCAGCACATTTCTCCTTCCACAATAATCCTCTTAATGGTCCCGAAGGCTGCCAGTCAGCAGGACACCTGCTCATCGTCTGCACAGGCCCCCTTCATTTGCAAGTATCTCAGCGTTGCAGAAATTGAGTCCCCAAAAGTGAAGTGAAGCTTAATGTTTAACATTGGTGGCTGCCTGTGGATTTTGTGATTTAACACAGCTTTTAAAAGGACTTCAGGCGAAATGAACTCCTAAATCCACAAATAAGCCAGAGCTCCAATCCATATGCTGAACCAAAGCCAGATGGGGCTTTGATTAATCAAAAGGCATCATTAATCAAGGGAAGAATCAAACCAAAGTTTAAAATACTTGAATATATCTCATGCACATAAGGTAAACTTAATATAATGGTCAGGGGCCCAGCAGAAAACAGATGGTCCACTCCTGGGGTAGCTGAGGGGAGTTTCTAAGAGGAACTGCCTAATGGAGGTGTGGGGAAGATTCAAGTGAATCAGTGACGGGGTGTGGGAGCCCTCAGAGGCTAGCAGTGAGGGGCTAGGGAGGGTGGGAGTAATTCTTACCGCTTCTAGGCCTGAAGGGGCGAGGGCAGCAGCTGGTACTGGAACCAGAGTGGCTGCTGCAGCAGGGGGGAGAGGTCACCTACAGGAGCTGTGGCCCTCAGCAGAGGGCCGGGCCAACCCCAGAGACCCAGCTGGGACAGAGTTGAAGAAATAAATACCCCAGTCTCCATTTTCTCCCACTCTCCAACCTCACTGGGTTTCCCCCAGGGTGACAGGCTGGAGGTCAGAGGGCAAGGCCACAGCACACAAAGGTCAGTCTCCTAGCCAGGGTTTAGGGGAAAGTGCTCCTAGACTCTCCTTATAGAAAAAGAAAAGAACTGCTATTAAACAACTATGCGCATATCTCAACTTATCACTCTATAATCCTGAATGTTTCTGTACTAATTGCCTTTCTCCTTCAACAAATAAACTTCTTAACACTGGATTCTCAGTTTCTAGCCACTGTATGGTAAACATAGGCATTGGTAAATGACAGAATGAGGGGCTGAATTAACTAAGTTGTTTATTATTGCTTATTATTCATGAGACTATAGTGTGGGACATTACAAAGTAAGTGGGATAAATAACATGACACTGCAAAAGAGCAGTATCTTTTAACTTAATTTTGCCATAAAATACATTGCTTTGAAGGATACGTAGGACTTCCTTTAGGTTAATATTCTCAACGGAGCTAGTTAATATAGTTGAAGCCTATCTCAATAGTTTAAGAAAATCATTATTAGGTCTTGGTAAATGAGAAGTTAATGTTCTGATATCTTATGTGTTTCATTATTATTATTTTACGATACTACATTATAGTTTGTAAGTAGTCTTGTGTGACAAAATACAGAAGTTGGGAGAAACCTCCCAGAATTTTTCTCTCTCCTAGTCTCCTTCCCCCTCCCCCTCCCCATGTAGAAATGAAATAAAATAGAACCCACTACAAATGTTAAGCAATTTCTGATATAATCAGTTTCCTTGACTTATTTCAATAGGCTTTATATATTTTATATACTGGGGTAATATAGTTGGGGGAAAAAGGTAATCCTTTTTTTCATAATGCAGTATTCCTGTACTCTATCTCTCATCAACAGAATTTCTGTTAATAATATAACCCTTCATTCCTGCACAGTAACTTCCCTCTGGCTCTCTAAAACTTTGTTCTCCTGCTGTGCTCAGACCATTCTTGTGATGACTGTAATGTCAGTACATTTTCCGTTTTCTGAACTGGACCAGCTATGCAAAGGCTACCATTCTTGGGACATCAGATAGCACTGCCCTTGGTGTTTCCCCTTCTCATCGCATAGCAGAAACACACTTCAAAGCACCCGTCTCTGAATCCAGTGGCCTTTTACATAGTCTGATCTTTTCCCAAATGAAAGAGGAGTGGAGAGAGAAATATTTATGGCAATGGCAGTTGGGGAGGGCATGGGAGGTATGAGGCCGGCTGGAATCAGAATGCTACCTCTTCTTTGCCATTTTTCGGAAAACCAATTTAGAGATTCAGACCCACTGAAGACGGTAGAGCAGAAAGGTCTCTGGTGACATCATGGAGTCACCATCCCAGCCCCAGACTGCCTACTTCTTGGCTTCTTTTAGATAAGAGAGAAACAAACTTTTATTTTGTCCAAGACACTTGTTTTGTCTTGTTTTGTTTTTTGTTACAGGAAGCCAAATCTACTCCTAACGAATAGACTTTATTTTCAAATAAAATAATCCTTTAACTCTGTTCTAGTTACAAGTAGCAAATATTAAAAAAAAAAAAATTAGGTTTTTGTATAGGAGCATAGGTCTAAGAAGAATGTTACACTTCTTTTTCCCTTTCTGGTTTTCAATTAATACTGTCTGAAGAATTTAACATGTTTTTTGTTGGGTGTTTACATTTTTCTTTAGTGCATTTTTTGACTTCAAATTTTAATGATCTCTTCATAAATGGTTCAAGTCTTACCTTTGAAAGCATTGCTTAAAGCTAACTAAGCTACTTAACTTTGTTAGCACTAAATTTCTTCTTTCACTCCTTCCTTCTTACCAGGATAAAACAGTACTATTTAATCTCCCTAGGGACCATCTGCTTTATTTATGGGGCTCATTTGATTACAGTTTTCTTAATTTATCTTTCCCTCCCCCGATTCTTCACAATTATCAAAATCTTAGAATTTATTCTGCCTTGCAAATTAGAGAATTTATTCTGCCTTGCAAATTAGAGACCTCTGTTTCTTAGTCCGTGCAAGCCTTCTATAAGCGATAGGTGTCAGTTCAGACGTTATGTGTTTACCTAGAAAATGAGCGAATGTCACAGTCAAACATTTATATAGCTACTTTAAGCTCCATAAAATGACTTGTTCTCATCAACTGTGCTTTGTGAGGAGGTCTAGAACTTAGTCGAAGTTCAAACAGCTGATCTGTCTGTTCTATTTCCCTTCCAGGGTCTCATTCTACCCAGGGGATTGTACATGAAATTCCAGACTAAAATGTGGACTCTTCCTACAACATTCTCTTGAAATGTGGACTATTCCTACAACATCCAATTTTCAAGAGGAAGGGTCTTAACTTTTCTTTCTAAGAACCAAAATAAGGGAAGAAATAAAGAGTTCGTGGAAATAAAACTTGAATATTTGGATAAAGCATTACAAGCTTTATTGACTACCATGCTGATTTTGCTGTCAGCCACTGGGATAACTATAGATTTTAATTTGCGTGCAAATCCAAGGAATGTGGTAGCGTGCTTGTTTTTCTTTAAAACGTTAAATAGGGCTTCCCTGGTGGCGCAGTGGTTGAGAGTCCGCCTGCCGATGCAGGGGACACGGGTTCGTGCCCCGGTCCGGGAAGATCCCACATGCTGCGGAGCAGCTGGACCCGTGAGCCATGGCCGCTGAGCCTGTGCATCCCGAGCCTGTGCTCCGCAACGGAAGAGGCCACAACAGTGAGAGGCCCACGTACCGCAAAAAAAAACTTTAAATAGACTACTACCTTCTCCTATTATAGAGCAAACTCTTTTGCTATTCACTGTACAAGTATTTCCTGCATCAAATAGCTTACACTTTACTGAACCACGTTTGAGAGTAGTTCTCCCTTTTAATGGGGCTACTTTAATTACTTTTCTCTCTCTGTCTCTCTGTATCTGTCTCTCTCTCTCTCCCTACATATATATACACACACATATGTATAATGACATGATATATGTTTATACATATTTATCATATATATATATGTAAATACGTAAATTGGAGCCTTAAGAGGGTCCATTCTGCCTAGGAGGTTAGATCTTATTACTCTTTTAAAAAGAGCATCCTTGGGACTTCCCTTGTGGTGCAGTGGTTAAGAATCTGCCTGCCAATGCCGGGGACTCAGGTTCAATCCCTGGTCCAGGAAGATAGCACACACCGTGGAGCAACTAAGCCCATGTGCCACAACTACTGAGCCTGTGCTCTAGAGCCCACAAGCCACAACTACTGAGCCCGCGCACCACAACTACTGAAGCCTGTGTGCTCTAGGGCCTGCGTGCCACAACTACTGAGCCAGTGTGCTGCAACTACTGAAGCTCGTGTGTCTACAGCCTGTGCTCTGCAATAAGAAAAGCCACCACAATGAGAAGCCCGCGCACCACAATGAAGAGTAGCCCCTGCTAGCCGCAAATAGAGAAAGCCCATGCACAGCAACGAAGACCCAACACAGCCAAAAAAAGAAAAAAAAAAAGACACGTGCTTAATTAAAAAATAAAAAAGCTACTTTCTAGTACATTTTGAAGTGTTCGAACACCAAGGGGCAGTGAATTTTATCTTCCCTGGGAAAATATTTTCAGTTCTAGAAGAAAGAGAAGTAAGTATAAAATGCAAGTTTTTTCTTAGAAAAAAGCTGCTAAGTCAAGTAAAGATCAATGTAAAACTAATGGTATTATCCACCCTTTTATAAAACACTAAAATTAAATGAAAACATTAGGGAAAGTTTTCAAATATTTTCCTCTCCCGTTGCAGAGCACAGGCTCCAGACACACAGGCCCAGCGGCCACGGCTCACGGGCCCAGCCGCTCCGCAGCATGTGGGATCTTCCTGGACCGGGGCACGAACCCATGTCCCCTGCATCGGCAGGCGGACTCTCAACCACTGCACCACCAGGGAAGACCCTCTGTTGTATTTTTAAAGACCAGTGTACTATTCTGCAAGAGAATTATGTTTATAAATGTCAACCAAACATTAGTATTTGTAATCGTTTTTTATTTAAAACCAAACTGTACTATCTTATTTGGGACAAGCTTTTTAATGATGGTGACAAGGCAAGTAGAAAGTTTAAAATCACAGGAAGTCTCTTTATAGCACCAACACTTTCAGTGAGTAATTAGGCCTTTATTGAAGAGATGAAGACTAGAAAAACAAAGTAAATTTTACATTGAGGAAAAATTATAGCCTTGAGAGCTTCTTTTACTCAATGGCTTCTCCAAACTGCTAAAGGCATTTTAATTTGGCACAGTGGAAGTATTAAGAGGCTGTGAGTTCTTTCTAGAGACAAAACTGCAGAGCTTACGTAAGCTCATCGCTGCTGTGTTAAAGACCTCTTAAGATTCTGTCTTTATGATGTTGCTTTTGGGGTAAATCTGGAGTCTTCTGTTTGGGGGAAGGCAGAAATACAAGGCTACAGAGTAGAGGATTAGAGAGTTCTCAGCAATCCAAGGACGACTTCTCCTTGGAAAAAATGGCTTGCATTCTGAAGACTGAGCTCCCGGAAGGCAGGGAAGCTCACTTCTGGGCAGTTGGGTTCTTCCCTTGAGGACCAGACTTGCTGGCCCAGGGAATTCATCAGTGTAGTTTAGTGTCAGCTGATGGTGGAAATAAAGTGAAACATATACACCGATAAGAGCACTTACCATTTCTGGATTCTCTGCAGCTTGCTTTACCATCTTTTCTGAGATCATCTTTTTCAAGCAGCTACTCAGCAAAAAAGCCTAAGAAACCCAGAAATAAAGAACTCTCTCAATTGAAGAGATCCTCATTCTCTTCCTTCCCTCTTTATACAGCAAAGCAGATTTTGTGCTCTGCCCTACAACTGTATGCTTTTAAGAATTTACAGTTCTTCTCTAAATTTCATTAATTTGCATAAGATATAATTAGCAAATAACCATAAATTTTCTCAATTACGTGGATATATTTGCAGTAATTTTTTAAAAGGTAGATTAAAAATGACCAGGATCTCATTATTAATCTTTTTCCCTTTCAAAACTCCCCCCTTACATCCCATTTTTTTTCTATTACTTTGTAAACAGCTCATGTCTTATGAGCAACAAATAATAAAAACTGCTTATAATTGCAGCCAAATCAACTGATGATGGTCAATCTTATATTTAACTGTATGCATAATGACTGAGAGACCTATTATTAGGCATACATACTAACCTGTTTGAAAGAATATATTAGTACCTTATGGCTTTTACTGAACTAAAGACAAAATTAGTTGTTTTTCTTCATTTTTAAATTTTCTGGTATTTTTAATCATTCACTGTCAAGACTGTCAGTTGCCGCCAACATCACCTGTAGCTTATTGATGGCTCATCACTGTTAGTGCCAAGACACATGTGTCATCCATCTTGCTGCACAAAAGCCGGGGCTTCCTTTTTCCAGGAACTTCACCCCATGTGCCAAATTTAAGGTTCCCTGTGATTTTCCCATTTGCTCCTTTCCCACAAATCCTTTTTTTTCCCTTCTTTTTTCTGCTCTCAACTCTTGGCTTATTCTTTTCTTATTCAGCCCGACTGAGGTTTGAGACAACTGAAGCTCAAAGCTTGAGGCTATAGAACTTTAGTATAAATTTGTGCTCAAGGATGGTCACTGAACAGGGTGGCTGCGGATTGGGGGGATGATGGAGAGGAGGAGTGGGGGAGAGGGAGAGAAAACTCAGCTGGGGGTGGTAGCCAATATACAAAACCCTTGGAGGACAGGACATAGAAAGCAGAATTAGAGGGCGACTGGGCTACACAGAGGGAGCATTCCAAAGTTTTGCAGGACTGTAGAGCATGATGGGCTGCATTTTATTCAAGGGGAGAGACAGGAGGGAAGGGGAAAGAAAGGGCTGCCACCAAGGAAGAGAGTCACAGATGTGGGGTTTATACACAGAAACAAAATTTGCCTTCCTGGTTTAGCTGAAAACTAACCCTGTTTATCTGTGCATATATGTAACCTACACAAAACCAGAGTACGAAACAGTTAAACAAAAAACTGAGCTGATGCAGCTAGGAAGGGTGTTTAGTGGTCTCTCACAAGGTGGGGACTGATGCCATACTCCTATACCAAGTTACAGAGATATGTAGGATTCTGCTATAAGCCAGGTAAGGTGTATTAAATATGAAGGGACTGAACTTCCGGTTAAAGGGCTCGGGAATGATTTGGGCCCCAGCCCTCTTCCGTATTTGCAAGGCACACAAGCCACATTTCTGTCTTTTGCAGAAGTAGCCGTTGGGTGCATATCAAAAAACCCCACACTCCAAAGGAAATAAGACCTTACCAGGAATCCTTTAAAAGAATATTTATGGCACCTCTCTATAGTGGCTTAAACTCATTTGCCTCGGACTAGATTAAAAGACCATAATAAAATTTAACTACTGCACATAACAGTCTAGCGGAAGGGTGTGGTTTCACTGCCAAAATCTCTCTGTGTCTCTCCAAGTGACTGCAGATCTCGCCTTGGCAAACCATCCAATCATTTCCCTGAGAATGTTTTCTATTTAAGGTGAACCTGGGGAGACATTTCTTTAACCTAGGATGTTGGTTTAGTACTTTGTGTTTTTCAGAGGACATGGATATCTATTATCTCCTGATCAGCACTGTACCAGCAGGGAGTTGAAAGGGAGCTTTGTGCCTGAGACCAGAATGCTCCATGGAACACAGAAGTGAGTATGATCGCCAGGGACTCAAGTTGAATATAATGTTGATGCAAAGATTACTTTGATATTTTGGTTTCATTTTAGAACTTTTGTAATTTGGACTCCAAATTGAAATAGTTTATCTCGGTAAAAAGAATTTTCAATTGGATTTGGCATTTAGAAAATTAGATTTTTAATGGATTTTTTATTTCAATTATTTCAAATTTACTTCAAATTTAATTACTGCTACCCAACAGCCATTGTTCCTTCTTCTCTCGTAACAGAACACTGATTTTGGAAGTACCCAGCTCTAGGCAGTGGATGCTTATTCTAAACTGATCATGAATCCAGTTCCTCTATGCTAAATGCTTGATTCCCAGACTCCCTTGCAGTTAGGAGTGCTCATGTGACCCAGTTCCAGCCAATGAGACAAAATGGAAAGTCTACTGGGGGGCTTCTGGGGTAAGGCTTTTGCTTTCCAGATAAAAGGGATAGCTTTTATCTACTTGGAAAATGCCAAAAGAATTATAGAGATGCCAATCATTTGCCTCCAGTATTCTTATTAAATGAGATGACAAATATCTGTATGGTCTAAGCCAGGGATTGGCAAACAAATCTAGCCACCCCACCTCTTTTTATAAATAAAGTTTTATTGAAACACCCATTCATTCATGTATTGTCTGTGGCTGCTTTTGTGCTACAATAGAGTTGAGTTGTTGCCACAGAGGCCATATGAACCTCAAAACCTAAAATATTTACCAACTGGTTCTTTGAGAAAAAGTTTACTGACCCATGGTCTAAGTCACGTTAGTTGAGTCTTCTGTTACTTGGTAACTAAATTCATTTCTAACTGATATGAAAGCTTTGGTGACTAGTAAAATAAAATAAAATGAAACCAAACAAAATAAATGACATTACAGGCTCAAAGCAGCATGTGTAGCATACTCTAGTACTCTGCTCCAGTTGAGTTAGGGTAATGTGCTTTTTCCACCCCAGAGTGCAAGAGAGCATTTTAGCACAGAAGGTTTTCCTGCTCTGCCCTAAGAACTTACCTGTTTGGTGTAAATAACAAACCACTGCCAGTGACTATCCTCACTATACTGAAATCTGAGCTCTAAGTTCTGGTTGAGAGTTTGCTGGGGCCCATCTGTATCCAGCAGAGTCCCCTACAAAGGAAAAGATATGATTTGATATTCAGTAGGAATGTAAGTGGCTATTATGTGCTGGGCAAAATATCAAAACAAGTGAGACTATTCCTATCCTCAAGAAACTATAAATATCAATCTATTTGGGAGCCATTAAAGCAAATCATCATAGTGTGATATAATAAGTATCAATATTATAAAGGAAATGAATACAGGTCTATGGAAGTAAATGGGATGGACACCTAATCCAGAATAGGATGTAAAGGAAGGCTGGCGGAGGCTGCGGCGGGGGTGGGG